GAAGTGTAGGTCCCACACACAAAAGAAGTTTTGGATTGCGTGTTTCGGGTGCAAAAATTCGATTTCAATAATATTTACATCGAGGTATTTCAATTTAGTTTATGTCGAAACTCATATAGTCATGCATTAGTATTGTTTAGTATGTTTCCATGTGAATTTTTGTTATGTTAGTGTTTAATTTTGTTTCTTTTATATACCCGGTTTGATTTATTTGATATCCGAATTTATGTTATGTTTGTGACCAAAAATGCTACTTGATTGTTTGTGTTAAATAATATTATTTATTTTGTTTATTTGTATTGTTGATGTTATGTTCATATTGTATAGCCTTATAGCGTAGTAAAATATAGTGTCTTTTAGCGAAGTAAAATATAGAGCCTTTTAGCGAAGTAAAATGTAGAGCCTTTTAGCGCAGTAAAATGTAGAGCCTTTTAGCGTAGAAATTGAGACTTATAATAATTAAGAATTATTCGGTGGTACCGGGCGTCAAAAATCAAGCCTGGAACCCATACATAACTATTGTCTCCAATTTCAAAAATCATACTTAATTTAATTTATTAAGTTAATAAAAATCTAAAAATGGAGAAATTGAGACTTATAATAATTAAGAATTATTCGGTGGCACGGGGCGTCAAAAATCAAGCCTGGAACCCATACATAACTATTATCTCCAATTTCAAAAATCATACTTAATTTAATTTATTAAGTTAATAAAAATCTAAAAATGTTGAAATTGAGACTTATAATAATTAAGAATTATTCGGTGGCACCGGGCGTCAAAAATCAAGCCTGGAACCCATACATAACTATTATCTCCAATTTCAAAAATCATACTTAATTTAATTTATTAAGTTAATAAAAATCTAAAAATATTGAAATTGAGACTTATAATAATTNTATTTACATCGAGGTATTTCAATTTAGTTTATGCCGAAACTCATATAGTCATGCATTAGTATTGTTTAGTATGTTTCCATGTGAATTTTTGTTATGTTAGTGTTTAATTTTGTTTCTTTTATATACCCGGTTTGATTTATTTGATATCTGAATTTATGTTATGTTTGTGATCAAAACTGCTACTTGATTGTTTGTGTTAAATAATATTATTTATTTTGTTTATTTGTATTGTTGATGTTATGTTCATATTGTATAGCCTTATAGCGTAGTAAAATATAGTGTCTTTTAGCGAAGTAAAATATAGAGCCTTTTAGCGAAGTAAAATGTAGAGCCTTTTAGCGTAGTAAAATGTAGAGCCTTTTAGCGTAGAAATTGAGACTTATAATAATTAAGAAGTATTCGGTGGTACCGGGCGTCAAAAATCAAGCCTGGAACCCATACATAACTATTATCTCCAATTTCAAAAATCATACTTAATTTAACTTATTACACTAACACAAACAATTAATTTTGTTTAAATTATAGTAGACGACATGGCGTTTCCTCCGCCTGCGCATCCTGGACCTGCCGAGGATCAGCTACTAGTGCTGCAGGGCGACCATAGGTCATCCTATGTTTGGGAGGGACAGCTAGCGATGCAGCCTCTCCGCCCAGGAGGCCTGATGATTTGTGGGAGTTTATTGCGGAGCATCGTTTCCATCCGCGTGTAGTAGAGATCCTCCAGACTTCGGGATTATATACCATTTTTCAGCTTGGACGGATGCAGCTTGATTGGTCGCTCATCACGTCCTTGGTAGAGCGGTGGCGACCGGAGACGCATACATTTCACTTGCCCACTGGAGAGGCTACTATCACGCTGCAGGATGTCCAGGTTTTATATGGACTGCGCGTAGAGGGGCGCGCCTTCACACTGCCCCACCACTGGAGAGGGATGACACGTGCACAGTTGGCGGACATGATGGGGCAGTTGACTGGTTCGAGACCGCAAGGTGACCGGGGTGGCAGTCGCGTGGCTTTATCATTCATTAGAGATCAGATGGCGGTATTGCACCCAGATATTACCCACGAGACAGAGCATCTTTGGATTCAGCGGTACACTCGGTTGGCGTTGCTCCTGCTTTTCGGGTGTGTCTTGTTTCCGGACACCTCGGGGAACAAAGTGAGTATGAGCTTTCTTCATTGTCTTGAGCAGCTGGATGAGCTACCCCAGTACAGCTGGGGTGCTACTGTTCTGGCGTATCTCTATAGGAGCATGTTCCGCGCGAGCGTAGGTCCAGCGGTTGATATATGTGGTTTTCTGCCCCTCCTTCAGGTGCAAAAAATTTCCGAATACATTGTTTGTTACCCCAAATTCTATATCGTGAAATGACTCATAAATTTACATCAACATTTTATCTTAGGTTTGGGCCTGGCAGCGGATCATGCCGTTGCAGCCACCTCTACCAGTACTTCCGCCCGGTCAGGATTATCCGTTTCTCCCTCTAGCTATCAGGTGGATTCTCCGGCGTGGGAACTACCGAGGGACGGATGCTCACCATAATCTCCCCCTTCTTAGGGATGTGTTAGATATGTTGGTGGACGGACAGGTAAATATGTACCTATACTTGGTTGTTTTAAATTGAGTTGTGTTTTGCGTACTCATTTTTATGTTACTATTGGTAGTTCATCTGGACGCCATACAGCATCGAGTTGCTTGGTCACCTACCCCGCTTGTTGCTCAGTCGACCGGTTGATTTGGAGCACCTCCGTCCCGTTGATCTTCTGGGATTTTGTTGAGTATCATGCCACGGAGCGTGTGCTTCGACAGTTTGGCCGTCCTCAGGCTATACCGAGGGAGCCTGGATGGGAGCCTACTCACTATCAGCGGGACGACCGTTCGAACATGGACCGACAGTATGTTGGGTGGCTACAGCAGCAAATAGCTTATTGGGAGGACTGAGCTTAGCGCATCCCACTACCACCTACAGTTTTCCAGGAGGCCTCTATTCAACTGTATGATGGGTGGTACCGCCGCCATACTCGATTGATGATCGGGAACCCCGTGCATGTACTTGGCGAGCGCTACAGACCGTACGCCGGGAGGCATGAGGCACTGGTATGTTTTTGTGACTTATTAATATCTTATAATTGTGATATAGAGTTATTTAATTACTATTTGAAATGTTTCACAGGCTATTGGGCATCATCGCATCTACTAGTCGGGACAGGAGATGCAGCAGCGTTCGGACATCCCTGAAGTGGTTGAGTATGGCCGGGAGATGGCCCAGATGGCTCGTCTGACACTGTTGCAGGCGAGAGATGCCGAGAGGTTAGACCATGAGCCTCAGTATGTGATCCACCGTCCCCGGCAGTTCATGCAGTATGTTTGTATGACTTTAATATTTCAATTTGTTTTCTTTTCCTTAAATCGCTGCCATTAATTAATTGTAACTTTCTTATGCAGTCTTCATCTCAGCCCATCTTTGAGGACACTACATGCGGTGATGAGCACACCATCGATACATATACCCAGGAGGTCGACGAGACCATGGTGAGAAAATATTTTCTTACTTAAAATAATAGTACATTCTGTAGGTTAAGATAATAATACATTTTCATAAAATAATACATTCATACATGCTAAGATTACTTCTTGTTTTGTAGGTTACTCACGGCCCGACGGCCTATTCTTTCGATCCCTGCCAGTTGTGGTGTTGATGCTGCTGCACATCCTCACATAAAGAGGCGGCTTGATGATGATGATCCAGATAGTGTGCCCGGGCGACAGGGGATGCGACTTAGGCCAGCAGCAGCACTAAAGCACACAGGCTGCGGCACTCACTGATTTGCTTATGTATTAAATTTGTGTAAATAGTGCTTTATGTAAACAATAGTAACAACTATCTTTTGACAACAATTTTATTTTAATTGCGTTTGAACAACAATTTTACTTAAACAATACAACTCAAACACAAACCTTACAAACCTAACACATAAACAAACAGTACAACTAATGAAAGCACTTGACACAACAGAAACATGAAGATACACTACAACACACAACACGTAAATGTCATCGCTTAGTTACGATCGCCTAGTATTCTCTCCTTAATCCTCTCGAGCTTTCTTTCCAATTTCTTTTTCTCTTCTTCCACCTCCTTGATCTTCGCCTTCAACTCTTCAATTTCTTGTTTCGATTGGCGCTGTCTGTCCCACTGCCCATTACACACATCTTGAAGATGATACACCTGGTCTTTGTAGTATTCCTGCTGACATGGTTCATCAACCCATACCTTAAAATTGCATATAGGTACGTCGGGTTGCCTATAAAACTTGTTCATGCACGCCCAGTAGCGACGTCCAGCTTCTTCCCATTCATCGTACATCATGCTTTTGTTTCCACATTCGCACTTTGGGCAACGAAAGGGTCGTACAGACATTTCTTAAAGAGAAGTTTGGTTTTATGGAAAATCTCGATTATAGGTTCTTTTGAAGCGTAGAAAATAACTCGAACGAGCTTGTTATTTATAGGCAAGATATCAAATAGATCGTAGTATTATACTGCGAATTACAAACATGACAACTCCACAAAACGTAGTATTATACTACGAATTACATAGACATGACAACTCCACGAAACAGGGTTTTCACATGCTTTTCAGCTTTTTCAGAACGAAATGACAACTCAATAAAACGTAGTATTGGAGTACGAATTACTTATTAAATTTCTCTGACACAAATTCGCAGTATTCAACATGCTTTTCAGCTTTTTCAGNAGGAGACTGATAAGATCAAATAGAAATTATAGCTCCTTAACTTTAATTGGTATTCTGTAGCTGTCGGATAGAACATATTACTTAAAGTGATAAACTTACATACGAATCAAATGGAACATATAGAGTTAAGCAAAGAAATTTAAATCAAATATTCTTAAAAAAGAGGATAAAATTCATAACTATTCTTCTGGATCTTATCATGCATCTTCTACTTTCCGGGTGGAAAAAAATTTCTCTCATAAGAAGGGTACACCGATGAATGCCTCATTGGCTTCGACCTTGCCACCTTTTGTCAAAGTTTATACTCAAAAAAAAAATTGACATCAAATATTAAGAACAGAACACACATTTGCAGAATTAGTTGAAATTAATTTGATCAAAATATCAAAGCTTTTTCACAGTTGAAACTATAGTTAAATCTTAAGTGTTTTTTGTCAACAACAACAACAACCTGGTGGGATGTGGGGTCTGGGGAGGGTTGGATGGTCAACTATTTTTGTCAACAACACATTATAGTTTGTATTCATTGTAAAATATAATTCTTGATAGCTGCTCAAGATGGAAGACCAATCTCACGTCATAGAATGAGTCATAGTTTCCAATATCAACCTGTAGAAGAAAACTTTTTCTTGATGATGAATTACAAAAAGGAACTTGTTAACTCTTAATGAAGCAGTATTTGAGGTTATGTAGTTTGTATTCATAGTGCTGAACTATTTTGTATTATGTTGTCTATGAACTAAAATAGAAATAATTATGTGGAGAAGTTGTACCCTTACAGTTCCTGATTCGATAGCAGCTAGGAATGCTGCGGGATCCACAGAAGAATTATAAGCCTGCGAGTTTGTCGCATCAGATTTAAGCTGATAGATATATTTACACTGACAGTGCTTGAGATACCCTTATAGTTTTTTTACTACTGAGTCATATATTAAACACATTGACGATTTAAATGCATACAAGGGTGAATCTTTTAGACTGATGAGCTCAAAGCACTTTGTACAAGGAAGATATCATGCCAAATTGTTATCATCTGTGGATGGTATGATTTGTAGAAGTAGCAAAGGACCAACCAATATACATGATTCAACCCACAGAATGTTCAGAGATATGGGCCTGACATGGATATTTTTACAGAATGCACTAAATTTAGACATGAGAAGTAGTCCTATCATTTTGATGTTGCCTAACAAGAAATTCTCCCAAAAAAATATTGAAACAGTATATCAGTTTTTCATGTTGGAGTTAAGAGTTCATCCAAGATATTCTTCATAGTGCAGGGCCAAATGAAATAATTAACAAATTTAGACAGAAATCATCAGTTTCCTATGATGCCATATGTTAAATCGTCAATTCATTTTTTTCGAGTGGAAGAGGACACAGAAATGCCATATTTCTAGAATACCCATTCAGTCATTTGAGAGGTTCTTACTACCACACTTGGTATAATTGGCTGCCTCTTTTATGCCTACCACGTCATGCCATTGACAAGTAACCAAGATGAAAACCTCTGCCACAAAGTTAAAGAGCTCAAAAACTGATTACCAAATTCATTGGGCTGATTATAGCAAACACATTCACGTGAATATGATAAATATCCCAAAAGAACTACATGATATAGAATGAAACAAGAAGGTTAAATAATTCATTATTCTCTAATAAAAAAGAAGAGGTAGACGAAAGAGATAACAAATACATGACATTCACCTGCAAAGCTTGGGCACCATCATGCAGGTATAAAATTGCAGCAGGAAAGGCAAGAGCTTAACGTTGTTTCTAGGAAGAGTCCAAAACTTAATTAATAATTTTTTGAACATAAAATATATTTTTCATGTTAAAAAAAAAGATACAATAATGGGTATTTCGCAGTTTTATACTGCGAATTGGCTTAACGGATTTTTTGCCGTTAAGGCGTTTCGCAGTATTAAAAAAAAATAATTTTTTTATGACATTTCGTAGTACAGTACTGCGAATTACAATTCGTTGTACTGAACTACGAATTGCCCTAATAAAAAACGGGTCGTCTTCTTCCCACAGACAACGATCTCCATTAAAAAATCAAACTCAAACTTTTTTGGTCCCCCACCCCGCCTACAATTTAAAAAAAAAAAATTTCGGCCCCATCCGTCCCATAAAGAGCAAGAAGTGTAGGTCCCACACACAAAAGAAGTTTTGGATTGCGTGTTTCGGGTGCAAAAATTCGATTTCAATAATATTTACATCGAGGTATTTCAATTTAGTTTATGCCGAAACTCATATAGTCATGCATTAGTATTGTTTAGTATGTTTCCATGTGAACTTTTGTTATGTTAGTGTTTAATTTTGTTTCTTTTATATACCCGGTTTGATTTATTTGATATCCGAATTTATGTTATGTTTGTGACCAAAGATGCTACTTGATTGTTTGTGTTAAATAATATTATTTATTTTGTTTATTTGTATTGTTGATGTTATGTTCATATTGTATAGCCTTATAGCATAGTAAAATATAGTGTCTTATAGCGAAGTAAAATATAGAGCCTTTTAGCGTAGTAAAATGTAGAGCCTTTTAGCGTAGAAATTGAGACTTATAATAATTAAGAATTATTCGGTGGTACCGGGCGTCAAAAATCAAGCCTGGAACCCATACATAACTATTATCTCCAATTTCAAAAATCATACTTAATTTAATTTATTAAGTTAATAAAAATCTAAAAATGTTGAAATTGAGACTTATAATAATTAAGAATTATTCGGTGGCACCGGGCGTCAAAAATCAAGCCTGGAACTCATACATAACTATTATCTCCAATTTCAAAAATCATACTTAATTTAATTTATTACACTAACACAAACAATTAATTTTGTTTAAATTATAGCAGACGACATGGCGTTTCCTCCGCCTGCGCATCCTGGACTTGCCGAGGATCAGCTACTAGTGCTGCAGGGCGACCATAGGTCATCCTATGTTTGGGAGGGACAGCTAGCGATGCAGCCTCTCCGCCCCAGGAGGCCTGATGATTTGTGTGAGTTTATTGCGGAGCATCCTTTCCATCCGCGCGTAGTAGAGATGCTCCAGACTTCGGGATTATATACCATTTTTCAGCTTGGACGGATGCAGCTTGATTGGTCGCTCATCACGTCCTTGGTAGAGCGGTGGCGACCGGAGACGCATACATTTCACTTGCCCACTGGAGAGGCTACTATCACGCTGCAGGATGTCCAGGTTTTATATGGACTGCGCGTAGAGGGGCGCGCCTTCGCACTGCCCCACCACTGGAGAGGGATGACACGTGCACAGTTGGCGGACATGATGGGGCAGTTGACTGGTTCGAGACCGCAGGGTGACCGGGGTGGCAGTCGCGTGGCTTTATCATTCATTAGAGATCAGATGGCGGTATTGCACCCAGATATTACCCACGAGACAGAGCATCTTTGGATTCAGCGGTACACTCGGTTGGCGTTGCTCCTGCTTTTCGGGTGTGTCTTGTTTCCGGACACCTCGGGGAACAAAGTGAGTATGCGCTTTCTTCATTGTCTTGAGCAGCTGGATGAGCTACCCCAGTACAGCTGGGGTGCTACTGTTCTGGCGTATCTCTATAGGAGCATGTGCCGCGCGAGCGTAGGTCCAGCGGTTGATATATGTGGTTTTCTGCCCCTCCTTCAGGTGCAAAAAATTTCCGAATACATTGTTTGTTACCCCAAATTCTATATCGTGAAATGACTCATAAATTTACATCAACATTTTATCTTAGGTTTGGGCCTGGCTGCGGATCATGCCGTTGCAGCCACCTCTACCAATACTTCCACTCGGTCAGGATTATCCGTTTCTCCCTCTAGCTATCAGGTGGATTCTCCGGCGTGGGAACTACCGAGGGACGGATGCTCACCATAATCTCCCCCTTCTTAGGGATGTGTTAGATATGTTGGTGGAGGGACAGGTAAATATGTACCTATACTTGGTTGTTTTAAATTGAGTTGTGTTTTGCGTACTCATTTTTATGTTACTATTGGTAGTTCATCTGGACGCCATACAGCATCGAGTTGCTTGGTCACCTACACGCTTGTTGCTCAGTCGACCGGTTGATTTGGAGCACCTCCGTCCCGTTGATCTTCTGGGATTTTGTTGAGTATCATGCCACGGAGCGTGTGCTTCGACAGTTTGGCCGTCCTCAGGCTATACCGAGGGATCCCCGATGGGAGCCGACTCACTATCAGCGGGACGACCGTTCGAACATGGACCGACAGTATGTTGGGTGGCTACAACAGCAGATAGATTATTGGGAGGATCGAGCTGAGCGCATCCCGCTACCACCTTCAGTTTTCCAGGAGGCCTCTATTCAGCTGTATGATGGGTGGTGCCGCCGCCATACCCGATTGATGATCGGGAACCCCGTGCATGTACTTGGCGAGCGCTACAGACCGTACGCCGGGAGGCATGAGGCACTGGTATGTTTTTGTGACTTATTAATATCTTATAATTGTGACATAGAGTTATTTAATTACTATTTGAAATGTTTCACAGGCTATTGGGCTTCATCGCATCTACCAGTCGGGACAGGACATGCAGCAGCGTTCGAACATCCCTGAAGTGGTTGAGTATGCCCGGGAGATGGCCCAGATGGCTCGTCTGAGCGAGAGATGCCGAGAGGTTAGACCATGAGCCTCAGTATGTGGCTCCAGGGGCCTACCAGAGGGGTAGGCCAGTCCCACGAGCCAGGGGTAGGGCACCAGCGAGGGGACCCCCACCAGGCAGGGCTGCCCCACGGGGTCGCAGGGGGCGGTGAGGAGGTGGCCAGCAAGGGGGCGTTGAGGTACCTGTCGACCCACCTGCCGATGCACATAACGAGGAGTTCAGAGCTCGGGGCTTTGGAGATGACCAGCAGGGTTATATCCCTCATGCAGATGAGCCTTCCAGCAGCATGCCTTCATATAGCCTTCAGCTATCTTTGCCAGCATCGCAGGTCACCCCGTCAGGAGCATTGTCGATCATGGGTACNAGGAGTTCAGAGAGTTGAAGATTTGGAGCCAATTGCCAATGCGGTCCGCGGTCCTTTTTATGCGGACCGCAACAGAAGCCACCGCGGCCGCGGTGCATTTTATGCGGCCCGCGGTGGCCAAGTTCAGAGAGCAGAGTTTAAAGCCAAGAAGCCTCATTGCGGCTGCACTCGATTTTGTGCGGACCGCACTACCTCGTCGGGGGTATTTTGTCCAGAAAATTTGGCCTAGTATAAATACTTTCTTTTCACATTTTTAGGTCATCTTTTGTAATCTGAGTTGGGGCTGAGCACGTGAACAAGTCTTTTGTTCCTTTTTGAGTAATTTTGGGTTACTAATACGCTGAATCTTTATTATCTTAGTTTGTAACTAATTATTATGGTTATTTCTTCATCTAATTTCTTGTTTTCTTCCCTAATTATGAGTAGCTAGACCTATTAGCTAGGGTTGTGGCTCAACTTTAGTGTGGGTATTTGATGGGTCTTGAGTTTTAAGGCTTGAATGTGTATGGGTGTTTGATATTTGGAACAATTTATGTTTTCCATGTTGAATTAGTGGTTGCAAACACTAATTTGTGCCTTTGTAACTTGAGTTCTTCTTGAGAAAGAGAACTTGAGTCTAGGAAAATTGGTCCAACAAGGAATTGGGGCGTATTCAAGAGATTGATAGCCCTAATTAAAGGGTTAAACCTAGAGATAGTAATACCCGACTTGAACCTCAATTTCTTGCTCAATTGTAATACCCAATTGGTCTTTAGAAAGTCAATTTGGGTAAAATCACTCAAACTACCGAGAGGTATAGAGTGAGAACTTTCGTGCATTGGTTATATCGTAATCCCCATCATAACATCCTTGCCTTAGACTTGAGAATCCATCAAATATCCTCCTAGGAGCGGGTCACTTCCCTAGTGCCTCTTTAACCTATTAGAAAACCCTTTAGCAATTACTCTTAGCTTAATTTAGCATCTTATTAGCATAATATTAGAATTAATCAAAAAGACCAACTATGATTGGAAGTGAAATTAAGAGTAGTGCACATTGCTAGTTTGGATAGGAAACCAACTCCAACTTCTAGCTCCCCGTGGATTCGATCCCGACCTATTCGGGTAAAAGCTGCATCGACCTGCTCTCGCCACTCTATAGTGGTACAGGGTTGGCACCGATTAGTATATCCGATGAAGATTGGGATTTCGAGCACCAACAAATATGTGGATATATACGACAATGGGTTAAAGATAATGTTCGCAATCATATCGTGAACCCGATATATGCGAGATCATTGTGGGAAAAGCTAGAGACTCTTTATGCTTCAAAAATCGGGAACAACAAATTGTTCCTACTAAAGCAATTGATGACCTTCAAATACAAGGAAGGCAACCCTATCCTTGATCACATAAATAATTTTCAGAGCGTCCTTGATCAGTTGTCTGGAATGGGAGTTAATTTTGATGATGAGATACAAGGACTTTGGCTTCTTAATACTTTACCAGACTCTTGGGAAACTCTTCGTGTTTCTTTGACAAATTTAGCTCCTGGAGGTAAGGTGACCATGGAATATGCCAAGAGTGGTGTATTGAACGAGGAAGTAAGGAGAAAATCTCAAGGTTCATTCTCACAAGCAGATATCTTGGTTACAGAAGACCTGGGGAGAGATAGAACAAGAGGCTCAAGGAATAGAGGTAAAAGTAGAAGTAAGTCAAGGTCCAAATACTATAATATTACATGCAACCACTGTGGCAACAAAGGACACATCAAAGGGTTTTGCCGCAAGTTGTTGGAAGACATTAGAGAAGGAAAGAAAGTTAAAAATAACGAGAACAATGTTGCTGCTATTGTTCGAGATGACCTTCTTTTTGCTTATGATGAAAACGTCATCAATTTTGTATCCCATGAGACGAGCTGGATAGTAGATTCTAGAGCTACCTCACATGTCACACCAAGAAAAGATTTTTTCTCATTTTATACTCTTGTTGATTCTGGAGTGTTAAAGATGGGCAATGCCAGTAAAGTTAAGGTGTTTGGTGTTGTCACAGTTTGTTTGAAAACTAATAATGGTTCAACGTTAGTTCTTCAAGATGTCAATCATGCTCCAGACTTACCTTTCAATTTGATCTCCGTAGGAAGATTAGACGATGCAGGTTACCATAATGCCCTCTTTAATGGCCAATGAAAGCTCACCAAGGGCTCGGTAGTAGTGGCTCGAGGAGTCAAGTCTGGTCAATTATATGTGACACAGGGATCTATTCTTAATGACTCCATAAATCTAGTGGAAAGTGATACTTTATCAGAATTGTGGCATCGAAGATTGAGTCATATGAGTGAGAAGGGGATTACGTGTTTGGCTAAGAAAAGTTTGCTTTCTAGAGTGAAACAAGCAATGCTGAAAAGGTGTATCCATTGTTTAGCTGGAAAACAGAAAAGGGTTTCTTTTCATAGCCATCCTCTCTCAAAAAAGCCCGATTTATTGGAGCTAGTACACTCTGATTTGTGTGGTCCTTTTAAAGTAAAGTCAAAAGGTGGCACTTTACTTTGTGACCTTCATTGATAATCATTCTCGTAAGCTCTGGTGTATCCTTTGAAATCTAAAGATCAAGCACTTTGCGTGTTTAAGGAATTTTAGGCCTTAGCTGAGAGACAGACGGGGAAGACATTAAAAGGTATTCGCACTGACAATGGTGGTGAATATCGTGGACCCTTCGATAACTATTGCAAGGAACAGGGAATTCGTCATCAGAAAACTCCGCCCAAGACGCCTCAATTGAATGGTTTGGCAGAGAGGATGAATAGAACTCTAGTTGAGAGAGTTAGATGTTTGCTTTCAGAGGCTAAACTCCCAAATACATTTTAGGCGGAAGCACTTAACACTGCTGCCTATGTTATCAATTTGTCTCCTGTTGTTGCTTTGGATGGTGATGTCCTAGATAGAGTATGGTTTTCCAAAGATGTTTCTATGATCACCTGAGAGTTTTTGAGTGTAAAGCTTGTGTGCATATTCCTAAAGATGAGAGATCGAAACTGGATGTCAAAACTAAGCAGTGCATCTTTATCGGTTATGGTCAAGATGAGTTTGGGTATTGTTGCGGTTCATCTGACCGTTTGGCCCATTACAAAGATTTCCTATCGCGGCCCTCTCAGGCGTGAAGTACTTTCCTCAAAAATATGACCTCCGAGGGTGATGCCCCCCAGTATTCGAGGTTGATTGAAAAGAAACCTTGGATACTGTTGAGTCCTCCTTAGGTAGCA